AATAATTTCCCAAATCGTAATGTTGAAAACTCGTGATCAGATTATCACCAGCCCCTTATCAGTTCATTCAGTGGGTGATTCCACCGATCCCAACCATCATTCCGGTAACACACTGTGCCACAATGATTTCCCACAAAAAATATGTTTGTTGGTTTATAAACCCTATGGACATACAAAAAAGCTATAACCCTATGGACATCATCTATTAATGGAATGTTAATGGAATATGAATGGAACACGACTGGAATATACTGCAGTTATAAGTATCATAAACACCATAGTTCTTGAAGTTACAAACCCACCGACTGAGCTATCGTTTTGTTATGGTACTTATCACATCTTATAGCGCCATTCATGGCCTCCGCGATCCCCTTGATCCACTGATGTTCCATCAACGATGGAAGGGGTGAAAAAAGCTGTGAAAATTTACCAGGGGGTAGAGGGATTTCATGAAAACTCATCATCTATTAATGGAATATGATTGGAATATGGTTGGAATATCAGTGGAAAAAATGAGTGCACCCTGTCATTATGGGATATGACCATCAACAATAGGGATGATAAGGGGGAAAATTGGACTTTATCATGTAATGGGATAAGGAAAATAATGGAATATGAATGGAGTATGAATGGTATATGAATGGAATATGATTGGAATATGATAAATCACCAGAGGGTATCATCATCCTTTTGGTTGGTTAAATGCCAAAAGAATCCCATTAAATATCACTATGGTTGGTGGTTAAGCACGTTATTTCACCTTTTTCCATTAAATTAAAACCATCTATTAATGGAATATTACAGTAATGGAATATGAATGGAACATGATTAGAATATGGTTGGAATATCAGTGAAAAAATGAGTTCATCCTGTCATTATGGGATGTGACCATCAACAATAGGCATCATTACCCTCTGGTAATGACTAACAGTTCGCTATTGAAAATGACCCAGTCGAAATAGTGGAATTTCCCATTATCCTAATTACCAATGATACCCTCTGGTAAAGTAACATAACTATGGGAAATCACCATTTTTAATGGGAAAATCCACTATAAATCACCATTTTCAATAGTTTTTGGTACGTTTACCAGAGGGTAATCAACTGTTAGTAGTCATTACCAGAGGGTAAATCTCCAGTGAAGTCCCCATGACTGAAATCGTCGCGAACCTGGCAACACCAGTTCTGTTGGAGGCTTCCACTCGTGACCTGACCAAACACTGAGGATTGAAGCACTGGAAATGGTGATTGAAGCACTCAAAATGGCGATTTTAACCACTCATTTCACCAACAAAAAATGGCGATGTCAGCAAAAAAGCCAACTTGACCAACTGCGAAAAAATGGTTGACTATTGTTGACTACCTCCAGAAATTTATGTAGATCTTCACAAAATTCGGACATTTCACCTGCGAATTCTACGAAGCATTTTTGGTCATCTCCCAGGATTCCCGGGGATGGATTCCCGGCCATAGAATGGGAGGAAAAGCTGGGATTTCATGGGGGTAAAAACTGGGATACCATATATATATATATATATATACATTATATATATATACATAATATATATATATAGATTATACCATATATAGGTGTTTCATTTGGGAGTTGTTTTTGGACTTTTTTTTCGAAGTAAATGGAAATACACTGGGATGCAACTAACCAACTTGATATGAGATTCGGATCCATCTGAAGGTGGGGGGTAACCCCCAAAATCGCAGTTGGAATAGCGAAAATGATGAGAATCCATTGGAATTGGGAAACGCCCCTTTTTTCAGAGGATACTACCCATGTAGAGACTCTGAGAATTCTTTGACCACGTAAGTCACAAGTCATAGCATTGAGTCATTGAGATTCAAACATTCTTTGGAAACACATGTCGGAACGTCATTAAGGTTGTAAGTCACGATCCCTTATAGCTGGCCCAGGTGTGAAGATAGAGTACCCCCAATCATCTTTTTCCCTCTTAAAATGATCCTGTATTGGTTATACATCCCACAATATCCAAATGGTATACATATATATATACATACATATATATATATATATCTTGCTGGTCAATGTCCCCCATCTTTCACCAGTTTCGTTGGTTGACTCGCCGGTGCTCACCTTTTTTATGGTTAAAATCCCATGTTTCCTAGTCAACGTCCCCATGTTTGAACCGCATTTGCATGGCTAACTCCGGCTAACTTTCAATTTTTGATCTTTAGACATGCTTAAACATGCCCAAACACTACTATTACCGGTGAATCCCCATTTCTATCGCGCAACCCATTCCTTCCCGCCTTCCGGCCCACAACAGCTGTCATAGTCGTAATCATCTTCATCCTGAAGGATTCAGCAGCTAGGTTCAGCAAGGAAAATGTCGACTTCATCGCTGAAAAGAGAGATGATCAGAGGGATTTCATGGGGACTAATCATCTATTAATGGAATGTTAATGGAATATGAATGGAACATTATTGGAATATGGTTGGAATATCAATGAAAAAATGAGTTTATCCTATCATTATGGGAAATGACCATCAACTAGAGGGATGATAAGGGGGAAAATGGAGACTTTATCCTGTATAAATGGGATAAGGAAAATAATAGAATACGAATGGGATATTGGAATTGTGATGGATATGTTCCAAAAAAATGCTTATAACTTATAACTTAAAGGAAGGTCCCTCTTGATTATAGTATTATTAGAGTCTTATAACCCCATCCAACTAGTTTGATATATCTACCATAAATCCTATATAGTTAGCCTAGCAATTAACCAAAAAAACATAAACAATCATGAGGTTAAGCAATGTTTCATGGACAAGAATTGGTTTTGACCAATAAAAATATGAGTATAATAAGCATTAATAAGCTAGAAAAATCTGAGTTAAATATTGTTAAATACTATAATAGACGATATTTGGAGTAGATTTCCCACTCGTCCCAAGAGGCCCAAGGATATGGGTAGAGACTCAGCGGGAATGCGTTACAAAAACTAAGAGATGCGCACTAGGAGGGGGAGTCGCTTTGCCAAGCTGGCCACCATGGTTTTTCAATCTATAGTTAAATAACCCCATGTTTCCCAGTGAAATCCCCATTTTTCCCAGTGAAATCACCCATGTTTCGTTCGAATCTCAGCATCCGGCCTCGAAGGGAGATTGGCGGCCTCCGTCGATGTCATGCCTGGTTGATCTCGTCTTCGTTTAGAAAACCAGTTCGATTAATCATTATATCCATGTGTATTTTATATATTTATACAGTCTATATATATAGTATATATATATACATGTAAACATATTATGTAATTATATATATACGTATTGTGTATATATCTACCTACATGTGTATGTATCATTATGTGTCTTAACATATAGATTGGTGTGTCCAAGTTTTCACTCCACTGTGTCCAGGGTTCCCAACATCCTTGATACATTTGGGTGGTAAATGGTCCAAAAACTTGAAGTAAAGTCACCCAGTTCCCCTGTTGTAAAAATCTTCCAGTTGCCAGGAAATGCCTGGTAAGCAGCTCGCCTCGGCCACGGAAACGGCCAATAGGAAGCCTCCTAGCGCTGGTTTTTTGGCCGGCTGAATATTGGGAATAAGAATTGACCATGGAAAATGGTGTGTTTCATGGGATTGTCATTGGGATGTCATGGGATTGTCATGGGATTGTCATAGGATGTTAGGGATGGGAACCCGCATCCGTCCTCACTGGACTGTGGGCTCGCCGAGGTTTCTGTGGGACTGGCGTCTGAGACCTCCATGGTCGCCATGACTTTCCAGGCTCGGAGAAGATCCGGAGTCGGGGGGGCGGTGGCGGTTGCGATTTCACCCAAAAAGTTGGGGATTTCTTCATGAAAAAATCTGGGGGAACTTCTCCAATGAGTGGATGATGCTGAGAGTGAGAAGATCATGTTTTTTTTCTTGGAAAAGGGTACCCATATGATTCGTCCAAGACAAGAAGGTTGCGCTTTTGGACGAATCTGTCGTCGGATGATGTTCAGCATGTTCAGCTTGAGCCCAAGTGCAAGCGGATACAACCAGCTGAGTTTGTCTGGTGGGGAAATCCCCTAAATTCCCTATGAAATTGCCATTTTCTATATGGTATACCGTTAATGGAAAAAAACACCATTTCCAGACACACCAGTCACGAAAGTCGTGAGATCAAAACTCTAAAGCCAATGATCCTTCGCGTGTCATCGACAAATCTGTGGCTATCTGTCAATTTGTTAACTCAAGTTCAAACAATCGCGATGTCTTTTTTAGTGTCTTTTCCAGCCCCTCTTTTTTAGCGTTTCTAAATGACTTTCATTTGAAAGGTCGTCTAGAGTCAATGTCTGATGGGCCCCCGCAAAAAAAGACAAATGGTTGGTTTCAAAATGTTTCAAAAAGGGATTTCATCCATTTTACTGGATATGGAAATGGGGTGAGAAACACCCCCAGTTGCGGTCGTCAAATCATAGGGTAATTATGTGACGGTTGACGAGTTGTAGTAGATTTAGGGTACCCTATTATCAAACACATCCATTTCTGAATTCTGGAATGATGTATCGCTGTTCGTTTCAGACCCCAGCCATCCCCAGCCTATGCCAATTGCTTGTCACCCGACCCTTTCTTCTGCAATCTAGCAGCCAATGTCAGCGCATGTGCGGGAAAAGCAACGCTATCAGACACGCATCATCAACGCATGGTGGGCTCAAAACTAGCTGCAATCTCCGAATCTATTGTATCTTGATTCCCATCCTTTGCTGGGCTTCTACCTCCAGTACCTAGACTTAGTCATGACTCAAGTTCTAAAGGGATTTTTTGTGTGACTCCATTTTTTTGGTTGAGCCACCATGCGAGGCTCCAATGCATGTCATGAGTGAGCCAACTACCCTGAAAATTGAGATGGTCCAACCAATGAAAACATGGAGTTAATAGCACCAAGGACCACCCCAAAACTGGCACAAAACTCAGGACTTCGTGCGGCCTCCAATTTCGCTTAGTAAACTTGCAGCTGTCATAGCTGTCATCCGCCTTGATATTTTGTCGCACCCCGTCCTGTTACACCACTGGAGCGGATTCTCTTCCAGTGGCGCTCCCAAAACGATGACCCTCTTGTGCCATTCGCATTGCACAAGACGAGTCGACTACAACTCGCAGTTTACAACTCGGTCTTTGCCCCTTGCGTTGAAACAACGCACTGCCGCAGCCGCCATGGCAACACCATGGCGACCGGACGCAGTGCGCGTGTTGTGCCGATAGCAGGCGTACTTAGACCGCTTCCAAACGCTCGCGCACCTGACAGAACTTGTGTGATCCAAACGGAGGTTAGTTTCCACTGCTTGTCATTGGGCAAAACAACTAGAGTTTTTACATATACCCATCCCCAAAAGATAGAACAGTTCAAAATTCTATAGTAAAATAGTGGCACATGTCCTTTTTCTGTTCTTAGGTGGCTGCTACAAGGGGAAGCTTGGATCATCCAGCTCGGAAAGAGGTACCGTACAAATTGGAAAATCTTAGAGCGGGGCATAGCGGGTTGCGTGAGTACCTAAACCACTAGTTTACCATAGAGAAACATATGTTACTCGAAATGGTCTCATTTCTACGGGTGCTTTGAGGGTCAAGACTGTGTAATTTTTGGGGTTAGCAAGGTCACTGTTGCGATAATGAAAAATGGAATACCCTCCGGCAATCAAACGTGGCAATGGGAAATGCTCTATACATGGAGGTTTTAATGGGAGAATCATCTAACGATGAATTCTCCACTGCCACGTTTGGCCCATCCGTGAAAGGTGCACCCCACCACCGTTGATGATTTAATGTCTAAGCCCCTTGAAAAAAAATGTGGGTAAACCACCATGTTTAATAGCGTTTCAACCCCAATGGTTGATGATGCGTTTTAAGCCATTCACTACGAGGCTCCCATGTGTTCTTTATGCTTGGCGCAGTTTGATGGTGCGCTGACCTTTTTTTTGATACTTGATCCCACTTTTTGGTTGTGAAATCACCATGGTTCACCATCTTTGATAATTATAGTAACCCAAAAAAGATAGAAAAAGTTGAATTTCCCACTATTTTCGCGGGATTCTACTGTTCTATCTTTCTTGGAAGGTTGCTAACAAGGCCCACAAGGCCCGAAGCATCGTGAACAACGCGGCCCGAACCTTGGCAACCAGGGCATCTGCGGTCTTCTTGCCGTCTCCCAGAAGCATCTCCTGCCAGCGAAGCGGTGAGTTTTTTTTTGGGGGGGGTGGTAAAACTATCAAAAATATGGGTTTGTCTGAAAATAGTGTACCCCTACACCCAATGGTTAATGATCATTATCCCGTATCCCTACTAAATGGCTATAATTGGGGGTATACCCCATTTGCAGACATACCCATATGGATTTAACATGATGTAATACCAGTTGATATGGACCTACAGTATCTGCCAGCAATATGGCTTTAACAATGTTTAACATGGTTTCTCTGTGACTTTTTTACACTTATATAACTATCAAAAACAAATACTATAGAATTACATAGAATTACTGACATATCATGTTCTTATGCCCGGAAATCAACATCGACCTCATCAGTTGGGGGTCGAAAGATTCCTCTAAAAATATCAATGGAATATGTTCAGGACGGTATGGTAACCCTTTTTCCTGGGGGAATCTTCAACTTTCAACTTCCAACTATTTTGCTAATTTTGGAGTTGGAAATTTAGGAGTTTATGGCAACTTCACTCCTGATTTTTGTTGAAAATATTGGCAGACTTTAGAAGTTATTTTGTCCAAGTGTCATCCCGATTTCTTTGGAAATGCTAGAAGATGTTAAATGTTTTTTGGGCCTTGACGATTGGGTTCGAGTTTTTGCTTCTGATTTTTTGGAAACAAACAAAAAGGCAAAGGCTTGGAAGATGATCGCCCTCTTGAATATGGCCATTTTGGAGGCTTCTATGCTAGATCTCTGCGAAAAAAAAAACAACCAAGCATTTTTTATCTTCAGAAATTGGGAGTTAAACCACTGAAAATCAACATAAAACCATAAGAAACAAAATAAGATGGTGATTGAACCAGTGAAAGTGGAGAATTGCCCGCATCCCACCATCCCAATGTCATTGCCAGATGGCCAGTGACAAGTATGCTCGTTCCCTTTCCGACGGCGTCATCTGGATGAACGGATCTAATCATCTCATTATTTTCCCCCTGAGATGTTCATGCGGATTTTCCAACCTCCAGTATTGTATGTTCAATGCATCTAATTGTTTACAAGAATAGGAAGTTGGAAAGATTGTATGGTTCAAGGAAATAGTATGTTTACAAGAATAGGAATACAATTTCCTTCAAACTGTTGCCACGAAAGTCGCCAAGCGCATTGCGAAACCCTTCATCCACAGCTTCGGTTTCTACATATCTCGTGCCACTCCCCGGGCCGTGTCTCCGTGTTGCTCTTGTAGAAGACAGGATTGTCCAGATCCGCATAGCCTGGAGGATCATCTGTATGATGAGAAAGTGAGGTTTTACACCGTGGGATCATAAGGGGTACCCGATCTTCAGACAAGGCCAGATCTGGGACTTCCAAAAAAGATATATATATATATGGATATATATATATATATGGATATCCTCTGGGAAATCAGGCTGATACTCCCATCAAGTGTTAAGCCCGGAATAGTCACCGAAGCTGATGGTATGGCACCAAAAGCGTGTTCGAATGAAAATCCGGTTTTGAGCAAGTTACTACCCTAGGGCTGATGCATAAAATCCCGTATGTTCGTTCCACCATGTTGTTCGTCAAATACACCCTTGCTATCTTTAAGCTTTAAGGATAGCAAAGGTGTGTTTAAGCAACGACATGGTGTAGGTTTGACGAGCAAATGGTGTAGGCACCAGCCCTAGGGGAATTTTCTCAATTTTTCTTCATTGAACATGTAATGAACGTTGCCGGAATTACCTGGCACCCAAAACAACCAAACATAAATGGTAGTTTCCCCCGTTCCAGACAGTTCTAGCCATTTCTTAGGGAATCTTCACAATCCACGGTGAAAACCATTTTTCTATTTCTGGTTGAAGTGGGGGTTGCAATGAACAGAAATAGTAGTCATCTCAACCAATCATCCCAAGTATCTATGGTTGAAAAAGAATACATATTTCAAACCCCCAACCAATCATTATTACAGTAATGATTGTATGGTGAATCTGAGATACCTGCCACACAAAAATAGCTGGTTAGTGCATGTCACCATTGATAGCAAAAGATTAAAGTACTAAAGTATCTAACCAGGGTTGACCCAGGGAAAATTCTAAGGATACAACAATTATTCTACATAACCCATTCTAAAGTAAACATAACAACCATTAATGGGTGTGTTTTAATATTTACTATTGGTTATTACTATTGGTTATTACCATGGTTATCATGGTTATGGTCGTATAATAATTGTTCCATGGGTTATTACTATAGTTCTATGGGTTATTACTATAGTTCTATGGCTTATTACTATTGTTCAACATGGGTTATTACTATAGTTTAATGGTTATTACCATGGTAATCTATCAGTTTTCTTGGTGCCATATTCTTTACACAACGTGCCTCCGCCCATGGAACGCTTGCAGAAGACCACCTTCTTGGAACGCCAGACCTACCCGTGGCACGGCATCGCCCCGGGATGCTGAAAAGTGGCGACCCCCAAAGTTGTTGATTCAATGGATGGGTTTAGGGGAAAATCTTAGCCGGAAACATCAAATGATCAAAATCCAAATTTATTGGCGAAAATCCACTTTTTCAATCTTAAAATCCAGTATTCATGTGTTAAATCCTTGTTGTTGATGGATAAATCGTTATTTTTCACCGTGGTTTCTGCTCAAGTTCCATGTGTTTCTTAGTTAAACCACCAAAGTTGCCATTTCATATACAGTAAGAGTTATATATTGTAATTTTATATGAGGAAAGGAAGAAAGGAAAGGGACAGGAAGAAAAAATAGAGGGCCGGAGAATCCAAAAGCAAAACGACAATCATCAAGCCCAATTCAAACATCCCAACGATCCAGCACCACCCAAATTCATTGCTTGTCATAGCTTCGAACCCCCATGTTACCCTCATAGCGATTGAAAATTGCCATTTGGTTTGTTGAGTTACCTATCTATATAAAATGGTGATTTTCGATAGCAAACTGTTGGATTACTGGATGAAACATTAGAACTCCTAAATGGTTCAAGTTTTAATGATTAATCACTATTCTCCCATCACAATCCCATGAAAATCCCTATATTTTCTGGGTAGTCCAGGTTGTTAACGATGAGAATCCCTGGCTGTTTTAGCCCCCAGCTGCGCGGACCGGCTGGACCTCAATCACTGGCATGCCCCAAATGGCGCAGCCCTCAAGCTCCTGGGAGGGGGAAATCAGCGAACTCAATAGGGAGAATTCTACTGGGATATGACTAGTTGATTATTGTTGTTACTATTCGTATTCTATTACAGTAGTTATATTACTATTGGTGTTATGCTTGTTATTCTTGAGGCTATTATTGTTATATTGTTGTTGGTACGAGTGCTGTTATTATTGGTATTATTATTGGTATCATTCTAGTTCACATTTTTGTCAACACGTGGTATATGGTTTATGGCCATGAATCCCATATAAGTTGAACTCGTATGATGGCTATATAGATAAATCCCTATTAATGGATTGATGACCCTCCATCCCCCAAAATGGGTATACAAGCCGACTTTTGATCATAGCACATACTATGTATTACATACAGGTATGTCTGAAAAAGGGAGATACCCCTTATTTATGGCATGTTCAATACTGAAAATGATGATTGATTCGCATGGATTAGTTATATCATGGGTCATAATGATGGATAAATAAGCTTGGATACAAAAATGCGCATGGAGTAATGGGACAACTCGATAGTTTAGTACTTCATTTTTCTGGGGATAGATCTGCCCTAAATCCACTGGTTAATCAACATGTGTCCCATTATTTGAAGGCCATTTGAAGACCATTTGGGCCCGGATTAGCCAATGAATATTGGTTTCTATTGAGTCCGAATAAAACAGTTTGATGGCTCCCGATGTTTCACCAGTTGCGAAAGAGTTTCTACGAAGTTTAGGTTTGAAATGATTAAAAAAAACAATTCCATGGATCCAGATCCACTCGGTTGTTTTTGGGGGGTATGAGTTGAGTAACCAACAATCATGAAACTGTTTCGCTGGCCGACATTGGAACCTAATCGCCTAGTGAATCATCAAGGTCGATCAATGGGAGATCTCCAGGATCCAACAGATTGGAGGTACGGTACCACGTACCATATAAGTAAGGCCATATGAATTCTGGGGATATTCCCTGAAATATAGGCCAAAAATATATGGAATCGCTACCTCCAATCAAATTTAGGTTCCTGAAATGGCCTTTTTAAATCAGGAATTGGTTGTTCTTTCTGTGTACAATTTCATGGAGGATTTATGAATCGTGCCCTGCAGGGTGAAGTCTTCTATGCCGCAGCATTCTGGATTTCCGTGGCTACAAATGTCAAAATGTTGACCCAGGGGACAACTGATTTTCCGAAATGTCCAGTATTGAGCATCCATGCTTGGACCTATACCCATAAATAGTCAAAACAAAATAAGATAATGCCAACTCTGGATTAATAAACCATGGTTTACTAACTAGGGAGGTAGTCCCCAAATAGTAATAATCTGATAGTTAAATGGTACCTCCCCAATTAAACAGCCGTTTGGGGGTTATTAATCCAGGGTTGACATTAGCCGTTAGCCTAGAATCAACCAAATGTCCTACAGTTCATTCATTTTTTTCAGCTCCCCTACCCTCTGGTAATTTAACATAGCTAGAAATAGTTGATTTACCCACTCAAAATGCTAGAAATAGTTGATTTGCCCACTCAAAATGCTGGAAATAGTTGATTTACCCACTCAAAATGGTGATTTTCTATAGTTTTTTGTATGTTTACCACGCCGGGTACAGTGTTTTCGTGGTTCCCGGGTCCACCTGCGCGGCGGAGTTCACCACATCGTTGGCGCCCATGACCAGCACGACGTCGAAATTCTCCATGTCGGGGTTCACCTGATGGGCGGGAAATTCCATGGGTTATTCCAATGTGAGGCCCGCAATTTTTATGGTAATATAGTTATATATGGTTATATGATCTTAATTTGGTATCTATAGTATATAATAAGTGTGCGTATATATTATATATATACTATAGATACACTTCTACTTGGAACTAGAAGTTATTTTTAACCCATCCATCTAACTGGTGATATTCCGCTAATCCAACTGGGGTCTTTCATATGGTTATTACCCAGTGTGGAGAGCCACTGAGGAGGGAGCTCCTAGAGGATCGCAGGCATGTCAAAATCCAAGTGTAAGTCGTCACTTGAAGAATGTCTAAATTGAACGTAGGATTTCCGTTTTGTCAAAGGAAATTCTAGCTCGCAAACTTCCAAGTTGTGGACGAACTGGTCATGGCCAGCGTTCATATCATCATGTCAACCGCAGATGTAGCAACAGTAGTGGGCCAGTGGAAACAGTAGACCCAGGGGCGTGCGCATTTGTGTGCGCCTCTGCGTGTGAAAAATGAAGTTTGCGAATCATTGTGTTTTCACAGGTATGGTGACGCCAGGGTTCGTCAAGAGAGGGTCTGTGTTTCCGCGGTTGCGGGTTTCAATCTGGACAAACTGTTGACAAAATGCGCACTAGACTGTAGCGAGAGCTCGATTCCATTTTCATTTTGGAAGATGAAGTCAAGAAAAAAATGTGCAGTGTAGCGAGAGCTCGATTTTGCCCAAAAATGCACAATTATCAAATGCCCGGACCAGCGCCGGATTTGTGCACAGGCGATTTCAGGAGCAAAATAGCGTCAATTAGATGGTGCGTCCGCGCTATGCAGGTTTGCAACCGGGGGTGACGAAACGCACTGGCACGGCTGCGTGCAAGAAAGCTCTAGTGATGCTGCGACACTGCTATGCGAGACTGCAGCTAGAAGTTGCTAAATGCATTGTAACAGCTGCGGGAATGATAGTTTTTAAGTTGCGGCTCTCGCGCTATGCGGTTCATAAACGCACTGCAATGGCTACGCCAAGAGAAGAATTTGGTCACAGGAGCTACAGAAAAGGTAGCCCGGAGAAGCAGTAGCTGAGAGAGGAAGGTAGCTCAGTGGCAGTGGATCACAGAAGAAGTAGCCCAGATAGGAGGCAGTTCAGAGAAATAGCTGAAAGAAGAGGTCAGAGAATCTCAGCGAAGAGGTGCCTCGGTGAAGAAGTCGCTTAGAGAACGCTTGGACGCTTGGCATAGGGAATGGGCTTAACGAAGAAGCAGTCGTTGAGCCAGACATGCAGTCATCCATTCCCCCATTCATTGACGCACTCACTCGTGCATTCGCTCATTCATTCATTTCTTTGTTCCTTTGTTCGTTTGTTCATTCATTCATTCATTCATTCAGTCAGTCAGTCATTCAGTCAGTCATTCATTCATTCATTCATTCATTCATTCATTCATTTCATTCATTCATTCATTCATTCATTCATTCATTTGTTCGTTCGTTCGTTCGTTCGTTCGTTCGTTCATTTGTTCATTCATTCATGCATGGTCATTCATTCAGTCATTCATTCATTTCACATGTGCATCGATTCTTTCACGTCATTGATTTCATTTGCTGTCATGCATTCGCAAGCCATTTGCTCATTCATTGACATGGGTCATTAAATGTCCCCATTGAACATCACCCAACCATTAGGTATATGGTCTATAATGACTACTATAAGGTGATGTCCAATATATCCAAAATGGGACAGTTACGTACCCCTGATTGATGCAACTCACAATCGCAATGTTTCATTGCTTCTGCATGTCACAGACAGTCCTATAGGCCAAACTTTCGCCACGGCACGGCCGGGCACAACTGATATATACATATATACATACACATATATGCACACATGCGTATATACTTGGAACCCAAATGACCTCTATTTGGGATATTGAATAATTAGCCAATTTATGGTCTAGACTTCCAAAATAAAGGTTGGGGTCCAGTAACGCACATTTTATGTAGAGATATATATATATATATGTATAATGATCTACACCGAGACCCTTAGAGTAGAAAAAAAATGGAGTCTGTTACCACCAAATTCTGGTACTGATGCCGACTCTATTGGTTTCCTTCAGGGTCCAGGCGGACAGTCAAAAGTGGTCCGTGTGTGGTGGGTTTTTTTTTCCATATGGGGGCTTCCATAGTCATGGGGGATCCCCAATAGCTGGATGGTTTATGGAAAATCCATCTATAAATGGATGAGAACTAGGGGTACCCCTATTTCAGGAAAGCGCCATATCTGTGTCATGATTTTACATGAGGGTATACAATAAGACCCTGTTGAATGTTGGTTGAGGTAGGCAAATCAGGTTCCCGAACGCAGTGTGTTTCTACGCCTCTTGACAGTATCCTCAGTTTTCCCGATTGAACTTCTCTGGCAACATACTTCCATACATCTTTGGTTTAAAATACATGTTGCAAATCGAACCTCTCCCAGAAGGAGCTCAGAAGGGAATTCGTATTTCTCAACACAATTTCCCCAAGTTCATATGGGTATGGGTCAATACCTATAGATACATTTTTAGTGGGTTATTCACATCCATATTTGCCAGCTATGACTTGGGGTTCACGGCACGGTACCAGGGTTTTGACCCATAGCCATATTGTGAAAACTCCCGCAATTTCCGTTGAATATCCCACATGCACCGGTGCCAAAAACTGAACTCCGCGCTGAACTCCACCTGGCCTCGTCCATCTCCAAAACCCACTCGTGCGGCACACCTGCCTGGGATTTTTTTGGGATCAGAATTTGGGGGAGTTTCATGGGGATCTACTGGGGATTTATATATATATATAGCCAAAAAGATGAGATGATTTGCAATTTTTATCCGCGAAAATGTTGGATATAATAGGATCTATTGCGATCTATTGGGGGATTTGTTGTGAATTTATTCGGGATGTTTTGGGAATTGAGTGGGAATTGATTGGGGATTTCATCAGATTTCCTGAGATCCGATGGGATTTCATTGTGATTGAATGTGATTCAATAGGATTTCATTTGATTTACTGTAAACATCTACACCCAAACTTTTGTGGTTGATGGTTTTAACCATTGAACATAGGGTTACATCTCAGTGTTTGTGTGTGAAATCTACTTGGCCGGTATGGAATAAGCACCATTTCGGATGAGCAATGATACGTATCTGACTGTGACCCATCTTAGATATCCGATATCCTTCGGTAATGAGTAATAAGAGAGTTCGAAACCCTTAACAATTGGATAGATGAAGGAATATATATATATATCGTTAAAGAAACGATCTAACGATCTTAAATCTTGGATATCCCCACAGATAAATGCCTCGCTAGTGGTTTACAACCCTAGCAAGTGTAGAAATCGGTTGTGATTGGAATTCACCTTCGGGAAATCATGTTGTTGGTTGGGTGGTACATTCCCCCCTCCAAATGACTAATATATAAGCTACCCAACCCCATGGAACCCAAAAAAGAATGCCAGAAAGGTATTTCTTAAGACATTTTGATGAACCATGATGTTCCATATGACTTTACTGCAGGATGGATCAGTGTTTCTCCACCCAATACAGGCATTGAAGCATTGAATCAGAGACAATTCAACCCAAATAGGAAAGATGCAAAACTGTGCCTCTCTCTCTCTATATATATTTTTTTCGTGATTTTCCCATCTCAACTTCCATGCAGAACAGATTTTCCAATGCTACATTTGATGACACCGGGGAGATACACGTGAAATTATCCATGAAAAAGCCACGTGTTCGACCGGTCGAACCGCTGTTTCCCAGTTGCATCTCCAGTCAAAACTGGGGTAACTGGGGGATAGTCATCAACTTTAATGTGTCCCACGAAGTTGGGATGACCATACCACAATACAAAAGGTCAAGACAGTTGATTTTCTACATCCAAGACATATTCAAAAAAATCTCCCCTAGATATAGTTACCCTCTAGTAAACTAACATAGCTATTGAAAATGGCTATAGAAATTTACCCATAAAAAATGGTGGTTTTCCATACTTATCTTAGTTTACCAGAGGGTAAATCAATCCCAAAAATCCCAGAAATCCCATTAAATCCTATTAAAAAATCTGATTTTTGTTGGTTTAGTCACCATTTTCCTATAATCCATCAGGATAAATCCCAGAAATCCCATTTTAAAAAAATCCCAGAAATCCCAGAAATCCTTGTAACTTGACCCATGGCACATGGAAATCCCAAACAACAACCAGCCCCTCTGCCTCGGCCAGGAGCACGTTCATCTGCCCCGGCATGCGGCCAGCCACAGGATGTACGCCAAACCTCGGACGCCATGGAGGTTTCAATGGGAAAATCATGGGAAAATCACGGGAAATACATCTGTAGATAGGCATCTATCTATCTATCTATCTATCTATCGATCTATCTATCTATCGATCTATCTATCTATCTATCTATCTATCTATCGATCTATCTATCTATCTATCGATCTATCTATCTATCTATCTATCTATCGATCTATCTATCTATCTATCGATCTATCTATCTATCTATCTATCTATCGATCTATCTATCGATCTATCTATCTATCTATCTATCGATCTATCTATCTATCGATCTATCTATCTATCGATCTATCTATCTACTTATCTATCTATCGATCGATCGATCTATCTATCTATCTATCGATCTATCTATCTATCGATCTATCTATCTATCGATCTATCTATCTACCTATCTATCTATCGATCGATCTATCTATCTATCTATCGATCTATCTATCTAATCAATCTATCTATCATTATCCGATCTATCTATCTATCGATCCTACTATTCTATATATCGATCTATCTATCCTATAGACTCTATTCTCTATCCGATCTATCTATCTAACCGTATCTATCTATCGATCTATTTATCCCCTATCGACGATCTATCTATCATGATGATCTTACTATCTATATATCATTCTATCTATCGATATATCTATCTATCTAGTTGTCCATCTATGTATGTATTTATCTATCTATCCTTGGATCTATCTATCTATCTATCTATCTATCTATCTATCTATCTATCTATCTATCTATCTATCTATCTATCTATCTATCTATCTATCTATCTATCTATCTATCTATCTATCTATCTATCTATCTATCTATCTATCTATCTATTCTATCTATCGATCTGTCTATCTATCTATCTATCGATCT